GTTCACGTAAATAACTTGAGTTTTCCTTGTCGACTGTTCTCTTTTCTTTAACAGTATAATGTGCTCTTTTTGCGTGCGTTTCTCAAGTACTACTGTTAAATTGTAATTTTCGGCAGTCGCAATATCGTCTTTCGTGAAGGACTGTTCTCGTGTCAATAAGAATCCATTGTTTTGTAATGCCGGCAAAATTTCTTTTAAGGTTTTGCTCTTGTTCTTCGTGAACAAATTGTATCCTGTGATTAATATCGTATTATCGTCACTCGACAACTTCTTTGATTGCGAGACTGTGATTTTCGAAGGAAGAATAACGCAGTCGAAGCGATCGGTTCTTGTCACCAGAGTAATGTTTGGTTGAAGCAACGGTAGATCACCCAAGATATCGATAAACAGTGGGGATGCTATTTCATCTGTTTCTACTTTGTCATCATCTTCGATCAATTCGATAATATTCACTTTTATCACTTGATGATACTCCAGAGCGAGATGCGTCGACAGCATCACGGCTTCCTGCAAAGAAACCTCGGCTCCGTCGCGATGAGCTATGAATCTGTACTCTTCGAGAACGGGCTCCCCCGCTGGCTTTCGACGAAATATGGAAGTAGCTTTGATTCCGCGAATTTCAACACCGCCGGATACTACCGCGTCGAAGGTTTTGTACACACGCACAGGAAGCTCTAGAAAGATATTTATAAATATTGTATTTTTTTATACTCAAACTTCTCTTATGTTAAACAAATTTATTTATTTAAGAATTAATTACAACAATTAAAAAATTAATATTAAAAAGTTGTTAGAGAAAAAAATAAGTTGACAAACTTACGATAATCATTAGCTGCTGCGTCCCGTATTTGCTGTATGTGAAATTTCGTATCGATTACCAATTTTTGTATTCCTGTGGGAACGTGAAGACTCCTCGTGTCCATCCCGAGGATTTTCATTTGCAGCATATTATCCATAAATGTTACCCAGTTGTACATCCAACCTATATGCCCTTGCTTTCCCGTAGTCGACGAACTTTTTAAACCCCGAAATATGCCGGTGTATTGATATCCGCGTAATCTGAGTTCCTTGTAGATATCTTTTGTCTTCATTATTTCCTCCTCATTGTCGTTCTCTTTATTTAACAGATGTCTCGGTAACTTTTCTTCGGTAATATCTATTGGTTCACGCACAGTGCCAGTGACAACGGCATTATCTCCTTCGATGACTTCAAACTTTCCAGTTGCTGCAATAAATAATCTTGAATATTTCTTTTTATAATATAAATTGAAAATTGTCATTCTTAATGCGGCAAATAAAGAAGCTTATTAAAAAATACATTTTTGAAATAAGATCTACCTGTCTGCATCATTATTGTTAGATACACAGGTCCTTGTTTCGGAAAGTGCGTTGCTCGAATGAACTTGACATTCTCAAATACAATCGGCATATCTGTATAGGATAGACTTTTCAGCATACCCATTGTTTCCCAAACCAGCATTAGATATCCAGTAGCCGGCAATAACTGTCTTCCGTCAATCACATGACCGCTCATATATTCGTAATCTTCGTCATTTCGCACAACTTCAACCATCCTTTCTCCGGTAGAGAGTTTCGTCTTCATTTTATGGGATGTTACGTACCAATCCTCGGAATGGTCCCATCTGAGAATAAAAAATAATATTTCTTACCGTGAAAATAATTTTGTATTCTATTATGTTTAACAAATGAATAATGTGTTCGACATACTTGATTGACGGCGAGATCATCGGCGTGG